TTTAAATAATATTGTTATTTGAGAATTAATATATCCTATTTGAGTAAACACCTACAATTTAGTACGTCTGTGTTTTTTTCTTTCATGGTTATTGGACATTAATAGTGTTAATATACATACTGAGACGATTGGCACCGTAACAGTTACCAGTGCAACCCAGTTCTTCATAACATTAATACTTACTTAAAACGCTGACCGTTTCAAGACAACTTCTTTCAATTTAATGAACTGATTCAACTGGTTCACTTAGAATATCTGGTTAAAACAAACGATTCATTGGCGAATTGCCCGTCATCACCACTGGCAGTTGAAGTCAGAATTATTAGTCCACCTTTGATTTTTTTTCCTTTTTTAAATATTTCCCAAATGATGTTTAACAGAGCAAGGAAATTTTCACAGTTTGTCTGATAATATTTTTTCTTCTGTAGAAAGTCTTATTTGTTCTTTTTAGGGCTTATACATATATGTATATGTATATATGTATATATATATATATATATATATATATATATATATATATATATATATATATATATATATACGCACAAACACTGTAAAACAGTTTGTCAGTTTGTTTGTTAATAAATAAATAGTTTGTTCACAAACAAACAGTTTGTTCACAGTTTGTCTGATAATATTTTTTCTTCTGTAGAAAGTCTTATTTGTTCTTTTTAGGGCTTATACATATATGTATATGTATATATGTATATATATATATATATATATATATATATATATATATATATATATATATATATATATATATACGCACAAACACTGTAAAAAACGTTATTTATTTAACCCAATGGTTGAGTTAAAAACATTGGGTGGGGTGCTTTGTTGTTGTTTTTTAACCTTTAGCCATTTTTAACCCTGTGTAAGTACCTCATGTGAAAAAAAACTTTCACACAAAACTTTTTGGATACACATACCTGAGATATTGTCGGCCAACATTCTTTAGGAACTAGCAGAGACATCAGACCGGTGTCACGTCCAGTCTTGGTAAAGATATATTGCCTTTTTTTTTTTTTTTTTTTAACTATTTTACAGTATTTAAATACTAAGATAGACACATAAATATGCTAAATTTTACTGAAGTTGCTGGTTTTCTCAAGAAATGGAGAATTGGAAAAATGAATAGTACTAGTAATAGTAGCATTAGAAATACCAGATCGTAAAAAAATTATATTTAATCAAAATAACCCAATGCATTGGATTAAGTTATATAACCCAATGCATTGGGTTAATATAACCTATAGTTGGAAAGGTGCTATAATAACCTATAGTTGGGTTATATATTGGAATATTTTTAACCTAACTATTTTTACAGAATATACTTCAATCTGAAGCAAAAACAAGTGTGATGAGATTTCGATAAAAAAATAGGGGGAGTTCAAAACCTCTTCATTTAGTTCACATTCTTAAAGTGTATTAGTAAATGTTGAAAACAAATGGTGTAGAAGAATATGGCTTGTCATTCATTCATAGTTTAATTATCTAACATAAACCATCAGAACCATAATGTCCAATGTTACTGCACTACACAAATAAACTGAATTGACTGTTTGAAAACACACACACACTATGGCACAGTCTGACAGCAATCAGAAGCAGCATGACATCCGATAATATTTGAGTAAACAAGTCACTGAACGCAATTTCTCCTCTTCAATGTCATGCCACTTTTCTTAGCCATTTATTTTCAAGTCAACTTGACCTTTGCAACCCATTTAACTTCAGTGCTGTGACATGTTTCCATGCTGAAATGGAAGAATCAGTAAGAAATGAATGGCTTTTCATCCACTGGGAGCTGATTAGATTGTAATAATTTGTTTCACACCAGAATACGGCCGGATATGAATGTACGCAGTCTGTCCTGAAACACGGCCAGCACTTCTGAAGAGGCTTTTATGTTTTGACAGAAATGTGTTCAGATTTTTCCAATTATTGAATAAAGTTCAAATTATTATTAGGCTGCATGTTATTGCGGTAATGTTTGGATTTTAAAATGACTGTTCACTTACAGCTGGAAAAAAAGGATGTTTTTCCTGGGAATAATATTTCTAAAATAGCTGCTGACATGGAATTAATCCAGATTTTGGTAAGAACTCAAACATTGCAAACATAAACCTAAAACAAAATAATCTGGAAAATTTGTTATAAGTAATACCAATCAAATAAAACGCGGAGAAATACTGAACTAAATGTGTTTATTTCTTTATATAAAAGGCTTTTTTGGTGATGGGAGCTTAAAGAATGTAGAATGAAGTCACATGAAGTGCTCAGGTGTGAGTTTTTCACAGACATTAACAGAGTGTAAAAATCCTTATGGTTCTGTGGATCTCGTCTATCAAATCTGAGCTGTATTTAGTATTTTCTATTGGACTCAATAGAAAAGGTGATTGGCTGGGCCATTCTACAGCTTCATTTTATTTTTCTGAAAGCATTTGAGAGTTTCCTCGGCTGTGTTTTGGATCATTGTTCTACTTAAATGTTCACCCTGGTTTCATCTTCGTCCTTATGATAATGTAGATGGTGGGCTGAAGCAGCTAATGTTAATATAACTGATAAGAACTACTCTTTCAGCTGCTGTCTGGGCTTTTACTGTCCTTTAACATCTCCTTACTTCGTGTTCAATACTTTTTTCCTGTGTATTTTTATACACATAACTTAATTTGTAAACTGAATAAATTTGTTTTCTTTGCAAATATTGAGTTCTTTTGTTGTTACCAACATCAGGTGAAAATTTCATTTTTCAAATTCATCTTCCATTGTGTTCAACAGAAGAGAAATGTTTTTTAAAATAGATGATTATTATTATAGACATATTTGTTATTAATTAATTAATTAATTAACTTATTTGACAATTTGTTCTTTATTTGTTATTTATTTTCTTGACTTTATTTATTTATTTGATTATTTGTTGTTTATTCATTTATTTATTTATTTATTTGTTCTTATTTATATGATCTTTTGTTATTTATTTGTTTGTTATTTATTATTTGATCATTATTTTTATGTATTTGTTATTTGCTTGATCATTTGTTATTTCTTAATTTATTTGTTATTTGTTTTGTATTTGATCATTTGTTATTAATTTATTTGTTATTTTTTTATTTATTTGATCTTTTGTTATTTATTTATTTGTTATTTGTTTGATAATTAGTTATTTATCAATTAGTTATTTTATTAACTTATTTGCTATTATTTGTTTTATTTGTTTTTTATTTTTAATTATTTATTATTTATTGATAATTTGTTATTTATTTATTTGTTATTTATTTTGTTAATTAATTAATTTATTTATTTGTTGTTTAATTATTTGTTATTTACTTATTTGATAATTTGTTATTTATTTATTTATTTGTTATTTATTTATTTGTTGTTTATTTGTTTGTTATTTACTTATTTGTTTATTTGAAAATTTGTTATTTTTTATTTATTCATTCATTTTTTATTTCTTTATTTGATAATTTGTTATTTATTTATTTACTTATTTGATATTTTATGTATATATTTATTTGTTATTTCCTAATTTCATAATTTGTTTTTTATTTATCTATGTGTTATTTTTTTGTTTGTTAATTATTTATTTGTTATTTATTAGTTTGTTATTAGTTAATTAATTGATTAATTTGGTTATTATATGTTTTTGTTTATTTATTAATTTGTTATTATTATTTTTTAAATTTTATTTATTTATTTGATTTATTTATTCCCCGCAGAATGGTAAAAACTGCTGCAATTTTCTCTGGTGACGTGCTTGCGTTATATTTTAAATGCAGACCCCGCTTATTAATTTAGTTTTCATCTCTCTCTCTCTCTCTCTCTCTCTCTCTCTCTCTCTTTCTCTCTCTCCCTCTCTCTCTTTCTCTCTCTCTTGCTCTCTCTCACACACACTCACTGCTTGGCTGAACCTCGTGAGACAGTGTGTGGCACACATTATTGATTACACACCTTCTGATTGTGACTCGAATCACTTTACACCCGGTTGTGGAATACTATGATTTATCACACCACATCAAACAATATCAGCTCAGAAAGAGAGCAGAGAGAGCCAGAAATGGAGCAAGAGACGCAAAGTAAGCCACAATAAGACCTTATGGCTGCTTAAGAGAGATCGATGGTGCCTGAATCACACTGATTAAAGAGACAGAGAAAAAGGACAGAGAATTGACTTTTAGGCCTTTTTTTAAATATTCAATTAAAACTAAACCAAAAACAAAACCTAATTTCTTAATATGACAAAAATAATAATAATTTCATATTCATTTGACATTTTCCACATACATAAAATATTTTCAAAAACAATGCATTAATAATTAAACTAACTAACTAAAAAAAAAAAAAAAGATCATCCTCATCAACATCTTTTTTACTTTTTTACTTTTACTATGACATTACAATGACCCTTTTAAAATAGCCACAGCATCAGCTGACCCTGTGTTGTTCAAAAAATGTTTTCTTGACAGCCAAAGACAACTTTGCCTCACTAAAAAGAAAGTTATTAGAACATGTATATCTCTTTTTTTTCTGCTATTCTTTGGTCCATCAAAAATTCTGGAGAAAATGGACGTTTTTTTATTTTTTTTTTTCAATTTGAGTATCAGCTGGTATCGATTTCCAGTATTTTGCAATCCTATATAGCAACTGATGATCTCAAATGTCAGTTTTCATATTTTTTTATGGCTCTTTTAGTCATTTTAGCACATCATTCATTCATTTTCCTTCAGCTTAGTGCCTTTATTTATCAGGGGTCACCAGAGGGAAACCAGAGGAAACCCACATGAACACGCAGAGAACATGCAAACTTCACACAGAAACGCGAACTAGCCCAGCGGGGACTCAAACTAGCGACCTTCTTGCTGTGAGGCGACATTGCTAACCTTTAAGCCACTGTGCCTCCATTTTCGATAAATTAAATAAAAATGAGGAACAAAAACCCTTCGCAACTACCTGTAATAATCAAATGAATTATTTGTTGTTTGTTTGTTTTCCAGAAAGCAGTGAGCAGGAGTATCAGCTGTGGTGGATTGAGATAAACAGGTGTCCGGCTCACCCTGTGGCTCTGCTGTATTGATCAGAATGGCGGTCGGTGTGTTAGTGTGAGCTGAGGATTGTGTTGCGTCCACATGAACCGCAGCTCCACAGACCCCCTGACCTCCAGAGTGAGGTTTATTCCAGCACCGCCTGCGGCTCCTGTCATCTGCAGAGCCGGAGGGTAAAACTAGTGCAGAAAACTGCCTCGTCAAGCGGACAGACATTTAAAATGAAAAAGTTGCTTCAGTCTGAAGGGTGATTTTGCCAAAGGCTTGACTTCAGAATGCATGCAGAGATATTCCACATCACGAACAGCTCCTCATCAAGCATTTATCATTTACACCAGGACGGTTTGAACTTTCTTGGAATGTTTGGGATTTCACCACTGAGGAACAAAATGTTGACCTCATGACATCATTTAATTCCTGTCTCTGTTTTGAGTAGAAGGCACCTTTAAGGTGTGCACTTAAAATGATGAAGAGGGGCTTTTCTTTTAATACACATTTAATGGCTGAGCCGAGGGACTACATTTTTAGTAATTAAAGTACAAAAGGCGCTTTCAAAATGCAAAATAAAAGTGTCAACTGAAGGGTGAGCAGTAAAATATGGAGGACAAGCCCCAGTTACTGTGAGGTTTACAATATTCCAAATAAAAATGTATGTGTGTACATACGTAGGGATATATAATATCTGAACAAGATACAATATTGTTATGATTCTCACATCATGATACAATATTATTGCGAATAGTCTTTCAAATTATTATTATCTTTGTGAGTATTTATATACAGCCATATATGGACACCTATATCAATTGTTGTCATGAACTGGACAGAATACAGAGTCAGAATTTGCTCAAACACAAAGTTTATTAATAAACAAAGGCAGCTGTGGACAATATGTGTGTGTGTGTGTGTGTGTGTGTGTATATATATATATATATATATATATATATATATATATATATATATATATATATATATGTGTGTGTGTGTATGTGTGTGTGTGTGTGTGTGTGTGTGTGTGTGTGTGTGTGTGTATATATATATATATATATATATATATATATATATATACTTTGATCTTTATACAAGTAGAGATTAGTAAATGGTCAAAATGACAAAAGATTAGGATGATTACTGTAATCTTAGTATTAATTATTATTATTTATTGTTATTTGACTCTTCCCAAGTAGCCTACTGACCACACATAGTCAGAGAAGACCGCACAGCATTATTGGTTGCGGCATTGTAAACAGTGCATGGAGGTCACCGCGCGGCATGTGTGCCTCTGCAGCGCCGCCGCGCTCAGCCTCATCACTGCGGTATGAAGTCTCCAGGTGTGCAGCTCAGCTAACAAGACACACTGGGACTTATTTAGCGCAGTCACTGTAGTGTGAAAACACAGTCTGTTTGAGGGGATACCGAGTCTCTTTCACTAACGGAATGCACAACTTGAAAGGAAAGTTCAGTCGCAAAAAAAACGAAGATTATTTACTATTTCTCATGTGAGTATGACTTTTGTTCTTCTGTCGAGCACAGTATCAAAAATAGTTGGAGTGTTCCTTATAAAACACAACCTGTCCTGTGTAACATTTTCCTGAAATAACCTACAGCTAGAAGTGTTTATAAAATGTCGCCCTTCTGAAAGTAGGAAGTCCCATGAAAGCTTTTGTGTACATGCGTTTTGCCCGTTCGTCAACATGTAGGCCACGTAGTGCTGGAAACATGAAACTGGATCCATGTAGCTTGATGTGTGAGTTATAGTTGTGATAACAATGGGTTTGATCCCTCTCTAGTAAACGCATCAGGATAAAATGTAGCTACTAGGAGTAAATCGTGTTCCAAAACCTCTGCCAAAACCCATAAATGTACATTTACACACGAATTGGGAATAGGGAGCAAATACTGAATGTGTGGTAAGGGACCGTCTAAATAGTCTATGTATTTAAGCAAACGTGCTGGTTTGCCTTTAACGCCAGATATTTTAAACGACTTTTTGGCCTAGCAAGTGAAACATAAATAATAATAATAATAATAACAACGAATAAAATAGAAGAGAGGGTAAATAATCATCTATTTACAAACAAATATACATAAATGGTGAAAAGGTGCTTGTTTTATTTGCCTATATTCTTAGATTTTTCACATTTATAGGCTAGTTTTATCACTTGTTTATTCAATGCTACAGGAACAAGATGTATTACATATTCAAAAGTTTTCTGACAGTGAAAATATACAATATAGACATTCACATTAATACGTTTTGAGTTTTTTAATTGCTCTAAAATATTTACATATTTAAAGTAATTTATGTGAAAAAAGTTTGGTTTACATTTGGGCCCACTCTTTCTTATGTACATGGTATTTTCCTTATAACACAAATTAAAAATATGTTGTCCTTTACAGTTCAAGTTATCATCAGAATAAAACATAGGCTATGTTAATGCTAGTCATGCTTGATTTCATGACCACAAGCAACACAGCGCTGTCATTTTTTACACCAGTAGAGGGCGCTGAACTAAATGTTAATATGGGTTGTATTAATATGCTTAAGGATTTTTATTTATTTTTTGTTCCTAGTCATGCACTTTTATATCAACACTAACACTATATGTATTGGATTGTAAATATGCCGTAATGGTTTGTACTTAAACTTATGGTTAATAAAAAAAATTAAAATCTGCTTGTGAAAACTCTCAGCTGCTCATAGGTTACACACAAGTTCTGTAATTGTCAAAATATCCTGTGCTATTGACTTTGTACTAGAGCCCTGCACGGGCCTTAAATCTAAGCCCTATCTCATTATACTTTTTTTGCTGTTTTTTTTTTTATAAAGCAGAACCGAAGCCCGATAAGTGTTTTAGTGAAAATGGTCCCAAAGCCTGACCCTGTAAAGCATCAAAAAAGTCGGAGCCCGACGGGCTCGAATTCAGATGCAGGGCTCTACTTCACTTACAAGTGGGTACAGCCATTAGAATCTTTTTGGCTTGAGGCTTCTGGTCTCATTCACTTCCATTGATTTTTAGGTGTCAAAACTGCTTGTTTGGGTTTTTGACGTTACAACTTGATGTTTTATTCTTATATTATTCAACTTTTTATGTATAGTAACGAGCACACTTGTTTGTAGAGCAAGTAGTTTGAGGGTTTTCTGCCGCTTATTATTCCTAGTCATTTTCTCCCATAAGAAACTGAATCAGAAGTTCTAAAACAATTGCAAAATCGAGCACACTTCTGCATTTGCAGAATAAAGCCAATATGTTAAGTTGTCTGAAGCTAATAAGGATTTGTGGGAGAAGCATTTTCTCTGACCTGAACAACTGTATTCACTTTAGGCCTGCACGATTAATTGATTTTAAACCAAAATCGCGATTTGAAAAGCTGTGATTTTTTTTTTTTTAAATGGCAAATTGCAAATTTGGTCAAATAAATCTCAATATTTTTTTTTCTCCACAATGTGCAGTCCTAGTTGACTTGCAGAACACTTAAACATTTTTTTATATTATATTATATTATATTATATTATATTATATTATATTATATTATATTATTCAAAACAATAAAAGAATAATATAACGCGTAAATATTTTAAACATTGTTAATTTAAAACTATCCGTATGCTGTGCAGGATGAAGAGAGATGGAGAGAGACCTCTCACAAGCTTTTCATTAATGTTTAAGGGATCTAGGTTATATTATTAAGTTCAGGTTAAGGTTAATAAGCGCAAGAAATTAGATTATATTTACCCTGTAAAATCACATGATATCATGCCCTTCAGCTAATCACTTACGCCCTACCTGCAATTAATGCACTGTAAATTGATTTAAATTTACATTAATTTGTCGATACGATTATGCCATTGTTAATTAGGGATGTGCTGTGGCAATTAAAATGTTGAAAGACTTGATCTTCAGTCTGACCTTTCACATATACTGTACATCGAATCTCTGTCAGTGTATCTATTTTCTGGCCCAGTGACGATTCCATCTTTCTAGAGTAACTCCCATGAGACAGATTATCATAATTACTGGTTAACATCAACTATTGATAATCCCTTTTCGTCAAGTGTTTGAATTGTACAGTTTGAGAGTGTGGAAAAATACCCACCCAGCTTTTGATGAAAGATATTCGCTGCTAAGATCATGTTGTTACACAACCACACCGCAGGATTTGGCCTAGTTTTTTTAAAACCAGCTTTTTTGAGAGGAAAAAAAAAAAATGAAATAAAGTTCACAAACTTTTTCCCCTCACTATGTACTCTGTGGTGCATCTGCTTTGAATTATATATTTAACCCAGACGAGAGAGATGCCTGTGTATTCTGAGCTACACAACCACTTTAGTATGACTTATTGAAGACATGGAGGCTGAAGAACCATTAAGAGTTACTGGTTCAAGGTGCTCTTGGGTACCTGTATGTTTTCATGCTATTACTCCGTCTGTGTTTGACTGACCTAAACAAACAATAAATACAGATGATTCAATAACAGTTTGTTCAAATATTATATAGTTTTAACATTATAAAAATATGGATGACTAGTCTGATTGACAGAAAAAAAATGTAACCCCTTAATTGTCATCATCTGTAATTTGTAGGGATGGAGAAAAAATTTTGGAATTGGAGAAAAATTAATTGCGTTTTTAAAAAAAATATTTTTTAAAGATTTATTTTTTTTTTTTAAATTGATTTCATGACATTCATGCCGCACTGACAATGATTTCTATACACCATTTTAGATTTTGCAGCGCAAGAATTTTTGTATCAATGTATAATTTATATATTATTTGTAATACAATTTGTCCCTTTGATACAAGTGGTCAAATAAATGAACTGTAACTTTAATTTTACGTGCTGGAAGAAAAAGCTCGTTTTGAATGTATTAAACAAAATTTTAATATATAAACGAGGCAACATGAGCATTTATAGCAAATAAACTAATGTAAATAATATCCCGCTTGCTTTCTGAGCATTGTCAAGCGAGTTCTTAGACCTTTGAACCTGCGAATAATGTTGTGATTCGGCTCACAAAATGAGACTCAAACCGCAAGTAGATGCATAATTTTATCGTTTACAAAGTAAAGACCCATGCACACTGGGACACTTTTCGCTCGTTTTCCAATGACATTTAACACCTCGTGATTAAATAAAGGGCAGCAATGTGATCGTGCACATCAGCGCGCTTGTTAAGTTTAACAAGTTTAAGAAGCTTGAAGTTGTGTAGCGCCATGTAAGGTCAAGGAGTGATTTTGCATACTCTTCTGCACGACGCCAGTGTAAATCGATTTGGTTTGAATTCGGAAAAACATCTCAAACCGCTGACGATAAATGCAAACGAAAAGCATCCGGGTGTGTACGAGCCTTTAAAATGCAAAGAAATATAGAAGGTAATTTAATGCCCTGCTACATATGTTATTTGGAATTTCATATACACATAGCTACAATTTGTCATATCATCATAAATATAATCATGTTTATATAAACACTATAAATGAGGAGGACTTCTCTCCTAAATCATTGCGTCTGAATGCAGACAGTGGATAGCAGTGCAGCAGGTCTCTTGCCCTTTTTTTTCCAACCATAAGTTCGGCTGGAAATCCAGAGGATTTTAAAAATAGGTGAACACAGCAGCACGGATATAGGTGATGTGTCTGAATGGTATCCAACTTGACTGATAAAAGACAAAGTCCGCCAATATCCAATTCTCGTACAGCTTTCCTGACAAAAATGCTTGCTGCACACAAAGAGCTTTGCTGTATTGGCCCTGACAGCATCGCGAGGAAAAACATGCAACAACCCCAATGAATCATCAAAACAAACACATACGACCCTTCATGAATGGCTTATATACTGTGTGCCATACGTGGAGTCCAGTCATTGGATCTCACTGCTTGGCAGG